TTGTGACTTCATGCAAAATCATGCAGCGACTCTGGTAAAAATGTCGTGAAGTGAATGGCACAGTATGCATTTCTGCTACATTTCGACTGGAAAATTCAGAGCTATAACGAGGAAATTGGCCAAATAGATAGGGACTCACGAAGAAAGGCCTACACTTTGGATCATAAGAAGAACTAGACTCCATCAAGATAATGGAAACCAGCAAATATGGGAGGAGTTTTATAGGAAAATTCCCGCTTAGTTAACTTCTTATTCAGATGTGATAACCAGTGACTGAAATTTGTTTAGGTTGTAAAAAAATTTTCTGGGCTACAATAAATAGAACCGAACGTGTGATTCTAAGTATCATGTTTAATTGAAAAGCTATTTCTGATATTGTGTTTATTCCAACGAAAGCCAAAATAAAATAGATTATTGGTTTAATATAGAACACTTCTTATTTATCTTATAAATTCCCTCTTATTTTGCGTTGAATCAGCAACACATTTATGTGGAAAATATTGTGGCTTTGCATTAAGCAAATAAGACTATATGCTTGGATAAGAAAACGGAATTATGTCCTGCATACATACTCTCAAAGTTACACCTTTACCCGCCACAAATGTAGGACTCTTCAGCAGTTAAAGTAGTTAGACAATGAAGCTTTCATGTTGGGCATACACTTACATTCCAGTTAAGGGAGCAATTCAGGTTGATTCACACTCAGTATGAGAAACAAGAGATTGGAGAAGGAATACAGATGAGTATAGTGTCCATTCTAAAACTTCTTGACCTATCCTTGAGTAGTATTTATTTTACCTTTTGACTGTAAGTCCTATGAACAAAGACAAGTATTTGCGATGAGATCTTCCTCTTGGCGAATAACTAAATGGTTAAATTTGATAAACGCTTAATGCAAGAGGTAATGCTGACCAAAAAATTATTTGTTAGGTATATTGTTGACTATTTTGTTATTTGGCAGCATGGTGAAGAAATATAAGATAGTTATGTACTTGCACGCAACCAGCACGAAAGAAATATTAAGTGCAAAATGGAATTAGAAGAGAATAGATCTTCATCTTTTTTGGATGCTCTGGCTATTAGAGGAGATAGTGAGGTAGACAGAGATGTTTATGTGAAATCAAAACGTTGGTTCCTTTCTGAATTTTCTCTATAGCCATAGCCAACAAAAACAAAGATTTGAACTTTAAAGTCAATGGTTATTATGAGCATAAGACTTGTTGAAAAAAATCATTGACAGAATAGTTTATCCCTGGAAAATAAGTATTCTGTGGGCTTAATTGATGGTAATAACCCTTTAATCAGAAATAAATGTATGAGATGTATCCACCCTATTTCGTTTAAGGTGATGAAGGACTGGTAGTAGAATTCCCCACAATAATATGAATAGAGATGAGGTTCCCATTAAATTTTACAGAGCCTTGTTTTCCAAAAAGTTTTT